AAACCCCACGTATACTCAGGAATTGCTTTCAGTTCCGATAAATCTTAAGTGATGCTGATGATAACAGAGTGTTAAGATACAATTTGCAGGTTGCAGTGCCTTTTTGCAAGTAGAGCGTTGGAGATCTGTGGGCTTTAACATAACATTAGTGGTCGGGTTGGAACGATGCTCGATTTAGCAGAGTGCAGGGGAAGTGAAGATAGTGCTTCCAGCTGCATAGCCTCCTTCCTTCCTTCTCTCCCTCCCCCCCTGCTCTCTGGTGCTGCCGGGGACTCGAATCTTTCTGAACCTTTTTCGGGGAATGGTTCTAAGAGGATTGTAAGTGCTAACTGCACCTTCCCATCACCTATCTGATGAATGATTTAAGAAAGTGGCGAGTGGTGCCACAAAATTCATTTGGAGCAAAAAATACCCACTATAATGGTAGCTCTTCCAAATCAGTCATGGTGTTTTGATGTGCTGGGCAGAGAGGAGGCTAAAGGGGCCCGTCCCCATGGCCTTGGGAGCTGGTCAGCCACAGGACTTGAGAACCTGCTGTCAGTTCTGGTTCAGAAAGGCACACGGGTTTGGGCCAACACTGTGCTCGTTCAGCAACGCATGTAAGCGCAACCAGCCTGCTCAGCAAAGTTGAATGTTTATTGTAGATTTGTCACCTTACCATTATTTTCTTATCTCCAGTTTCCTCCAAAACACACTATTCATGGAAGAACTGGTAACATTTTTCCAGGCTTCCTCTGCAGAGCTCCTTGATGCTTATTTAATATCTTCTCTGGTGGTAATCCTGACTGAAGCATGCAAGAGTAGGATCGTTCCAGCAGTTTTTTTCTGAATCAATAATTCATGCCTTTTCATCAGACTTTTTCTACTTCCTTGAGTCGCCTGGCGAAGCTCGTTACAGATTCGTAGCCCAGTTTAGTGTTCCCCCCGTTGGTGTTTCTGGCAGTACACCCTCCCTCGCCATTCACCCACAGCCAGGCAAACACAGAGCATCTCCAAAGATCACCCGGGGGGGTGAGTTGAGAACCAACTAAAGGCAGAATTTTTCAAAAGCCTTCAACTTCAGATTAATTAATTCTGCCGCCGGTGAAGTTAAAAACAAAGCCACCTCAGGTCTGAGAACACACGGAAATGCCTCCCTGGCTGCAAAGACACAGCCTGAGTGCTAAGCCAGACAGAGGGGTGTGTGTAAGATGGGGGCAGTGGTGCCCCCCGCCAGCGTGGCCGAGGCTGCCAGAGCTTTGCTGGTGCTACAAAGAAGGCTGGGCTAAGAGCAGCGCTGCTCGGGTCACCCTGCCGTGCAGCAGGCCTGCTTGGGTGAATGTGCTAAACCAGCAGAAAGGCAATCCTGTGCCAGGCTGAAGAGATTTCAAGTGCCAGGAAGATAACAGCAAAGAGCCAGGAAAGGCTGATTTTTAAAACTCAGCTGCTGCAGTGTTTTCCCATTATCAAATCAGAAGTAATTGATGACATTTCTCCATTGCTGGACTCAGTATTTTCTCTGCTAGAGGATGCATGGTGCAGAGCCCTGTGAGCCCGCTCACGTCTGCCATGGCACAGTTACAGCACATAGGTGCAGAGATGAGAAGAATAACCTTCAGGCTATAAGGAACTATTTTTATCGCGAAGCTATAATGCTTCACTTTGGGAGAAGATGTGTAAAGGAGAGTAACCCTGGCAGTTGGCTGATGAGAATGGTGCTGGTCAGTAAATTCTTCTGGCATTCTGGTTCAGTGGTGATGAACACAGAGTTGGACCTCAGGCACCGCTTGGGTGCCTCAGGAAGGATTGCTGGAAATTAATAAATGCAGCTTTATGAGATGTCTTTGTTTTGAACCCCACTGTTCAGTAACATGACAGATGCTTTGCTGCATTTTGAGAAGTGCTGCTTGTATCGTGACTGAAGTCCTGGTGCTGCTTTCCTTGATGGTGGATTCACCTTATACTGGCTCCTCTGCTGCTGCTTTCCCATGGCTTTTGCAGCATGCAGACAGCCCTCAGAAAGACAGAAGATGTAGGGAGCAGAATGTCTTGCTCTGGTCTCCCCTTTTCAAGTCAGAAAATGGCTGCATGCATATCCTGATGGAGGAACTGGGCTAGTTATCTTCAGATCAAACACATGGAGCTTATTTCCACTCCACAGTGACAGGCAGCCTTAGGTGACACTATGTTGACTGTGACGCTGTGGTCCAAGTGTGATGGGGTGGAGGAGGCAGGAGAGGCCGGCCGTACACTACATTCAGAGCCACAGGTAACAGTGGGTTGGCCATCAGTGAAGACTTAAACTCCAAATATGATGAAAAATACATATAGTCCCCTGTGCTTTTCATACTGATCAGGCAGCAAAAACTGATACTACTAAATAATTAATTTTTTAATAAGATGCAGTATAGAATCACAGAACGTTTCGGGATGGAAGGGTCCTTAAAGACCGCCTAGTTCCAATGCCCCTGCCATGGGCAGGGACATCTTCCACTAGACCAGGTTGCTCAAAACCTCACCCAGCCTGGCACCCTTGCATTACAAGAAGCTCAGCAGCACATGGGGTGTCTTCGCCCAAAAGTTCAGGGGAAAAAACCCCAAACCCTGTTTCAAAGCATCAGCAAGTTTCTACGAGTTTGCTCTTTCTTTACTTTTGGACCTGACTCTTCCAGGAAAATCCGAGGACAGAGCCATCATGCATGTGAAGGTGGGTTTGATCAATCTTGCTTTGGTGGCCTGGCAGAGGGGGAGATTTCATGTCTTTTGCAGGTGCTTGGGGAAAAGTCCCCAGCATGCTGCCAAGAAAAGCTGAGGAGCAGCATCCTTCTCTGCTGCTGGGCATCTTGCTTTTTTCTCCTGACAGCAGCTTTGACCCCACTTGGGTGCATGTCTGAAGCAGTGGGTCCTGTACCCATTTAGAGAGGACACATTAAGTGTTTTTTCCCTGCCAGAAACAATCCACAGCTCTGCAGAGTCTCAGTTAACGAGCACCAGATTTCCTTGACAGGTTTTGCTGAGTGTGTTCCTAAAACTCATGTCCAAGCGTTTTGTCCTTTGCTTATTCTTCCAAGGGATACGTTATCAAGAGGTGAACAATTGGCAGCATCAGTTTAAAGTTACGAAGATTCTCTTGGGGAATTGCCCCACACCGTGTTTTTTCTTGTGCGTTTAAGGTATTCCCGTTCATAAATACTAAAACCATCAGTCAGCGTGTGCTTTGGGGATTTTAGGTAGCTTTGCTGAAGTGGGTTTCTTTGCCACTGGACCACTGGGATTTTTCGGCAGATGAGGCAGAGTGGTGTATATGTATTTACTCCGAACGTTAGCAGTTCATTCACCTAAACTTCTGTGTGAGGTTCTTACAGAGTCTCTCTGACAGAAAGGTGTTACGGCATATGGGACAGAGTTAGGAGTTGCTGTGTGGCAGGGTAAAACACCAGCTGCCGTAGCTTGATTATAAAGCAATGGATGTTTAATTGGTGGTGGAAACACGAGAGGCCTTTTAGTACCTCTTCAGCTGCCTTTTGGTGGGGGGGTTTTACATGTGTTGCAGTTATGTGGCTGGGATGGAGGAGGGAGATCCTGCGTGCTATCAGAGTACAGGATGAAGACAGGCAATTACTGCTATCTGCCTGCTTAGTTATCCTTTTTTAAGAAGTGCCCTTCCCCTCAAATTCCACATGCATAGTTGTGTGGCTGTTCTACAAATTACGGAAATTCATTAAGGGGTAGTTATGATTGTACTTCAAAGAAATATTTGGGTTTGTTATGCGTGTGTGTGTGTATATACACCCCTTTTGCTTGGTATTTGTACCTTGGCTAGCAGGGTGCTAGGAACCTCGTTGGGAGGAGAATGGTTAGCACAGAGCCTGACAGTGAGCATCTGGAGGGCGTTCCCTGTGCTACCCAACTTTTCCTGGCTCAGGACCCATGCAGAGGCCAGGTGTGCCGCTCACAACCACCCTCTTCCTCATCCCCCCCTGCTCCCACCTTGGCTTCTCTATCCAGGCCTGATGCTTTTATTTTTCTTGGAAACCCTCTCAGGTTTCTTTCTTCTTCATGGATACCCCTTCTCATTTCACTTCTTTCCAAGGCTTTCTCTTCCTTCAGATCTTTGGGACGTGAGGGATATGGTAGCCATGCAGCATCATTCTGCAGAAGGATTAATGATGGCACCAGTTCCTCTGTCCCCCATCGTCCGTGCCCCGCTTTGTGCTCGCAAGACAGCAGCCTGCGGGAGGGATGAGGCTTGCACAGTGATGGTGGGAAACAGTAACCAGCCAGTCTCTCACCTAGGCTGTTATTGAGTCCTTTAGTGTAGTTCCAAAACCAGCATGCCTGCTGCTTTTGCCCAGTGACTCCTCATGTGCTGGCCTGCACGGGCAATGGGAACAACAGGTTCGGACAACCTCAAGCAAATTTTAGATTAAGGCAGAAGCCACAAGCGTAGGAAATGTGCTTCTAAAAGCCTGCGCTAGGTTTAGTCTTTCACTTGAAAAGACATGCACACAGCGAAATGCAGGTGCCCATCTCCTGGAGTCCATCCTTCAGGGTTAGTTTTCCTCAGGCCAGATGTTTCTGTGGTGGTGATCCGCAGACCGTGGAGTTGCACTTTCACTCGTAAGAAGTGCCTGCCCTTCCCCATCATGTGGGTGGCCGGCAGCGAGGTGGTGCCGTGCTTCTTCCTGAAACCCTGCCCAGGTTTACTCATCTTCCTCAGTGCTGCACACCTTTTTCTCCCCAAAATAATACTGTCTCAGGTCTGTCAACAGAAACAGCAGCTTCAATAGGCTTAATCTTTTCAGCATCGACTTGGTTCCAAGCACCAATATCAGCATTGTTCATCTGGGGCTGATCATTTTAGCACTTGCATGACTGTGTGAAGATGATACATGTTGGCCAAAGATATGTTCTGACCAAGGAGGAAATGCAGGTGAAAACTGGGTAAATTGTATTGCACATTCCTGTTTGCATGCCTATTGAGTCTTAGTTTTCTTTTCCCTCCTCTTTTGCTGATGCAGCTGAAGAATAAATTCATGAAGAAGCTGCCCCGTGATGCTGAGGCCTCCAATGTGCTGGTGGGGGAGGTGGATTTCCTGGAGAGTCCCTTCATTGCCTTCGTCCGGCTGCAGCAGGCAGTCATGCTGGGTGCTCTGACTGAAGTCCCCGTACCTACACGGTAAGAGAATTCATCCCCTGGCAGGGAACGAGGATTGGTAACTGCATTTCCATCATTAAAATAAAACCAAAAGAAGACATTCTCCATTGTTTTCCATTTCATGATAAGTGTAAGCGTCAGGATTATTGGTTTAAAGTAGCAAAAATCACTGTAGCTGCTTAATCACCCTCAGGTCCTGAAATGGGTTATAAGATGTAGGCTGTAAAATGCACAAACTTTACACGAATGTGCTAATTTAACAACTTAGCATTAAAGGGCACTATCAATGTGAAATTTAACTACTGCAATGTTTTTCCTGCCCCTTATAATTCCTCCCCAACACACACTTACATACCTCAGAATCTCTCTGCACTTTTTTGTGGTACATATTTTTCCTCTTAAAAACTCACGTGGGGTGAAGGATGCAATTCTTGCCCTGCTGGGGTGAAATAAAGAAGTCAGGTAAATGGGGAGCGGGGGGCGGGTGGGGTGCGGTGGGACGGGATATACAATTCTATCTGGGGTGGTCACAATGTATGTTGCTTTGTAATGCATAGTGGTTCAGAGAAAAATGTCATAGAAATATTTTATTTATTTTGACTCACATTGCAAATTAATCCAAGTGTCACAAACATATCTTACATTCTTAAATATTTGAATTCACTGCTTGAATATGCATAACTGTCTGTACAGTGAGTGCAGATCTCTACCAGAATAGCAAAGCTAAAGTCCTGTTTGATTTCTTAGCTATATTGCCCCTAGCTATACAATTGCATATTGTTTATCATGTAACATAGTAGGAAAGAATTATCACTACAGGTGTCCAGAACATCTATGGCACATAAGCATTGTGTAGTAGTATATCTTTGCTTCGTCTATACACACCCCACCGAGGTAAGAACTATAAAGATGATTAGCATTAGAAGGTAATGAAGTGCAGGAAGAACGGAGCACAGGAGAGCTCCAGGGAGAAGGACAAAAGCTGCAACTGGACAGCCTGCAGCTGGTGTGCAATTGTGACTCGGCGGGCCGGGGCTCTGGGTGCTTCTGGTATCAGCTTACAAAGGGTTTACTTTGCCTTTTGCTTGTAATTACGGAGTTCAAACTGCACCTTTCACATCACTAATGTGCAAATACATATTATATGTGAATGGTTTCAAGGGCTTTCAATACAGGGTGAAAGTTGTCATTTAAATAATGCCTAGAGGGTTTGAGGCTATATCAAGTAATATTTTGTGAGAAGAGACATATTACCACGGCAAAAGCACATGGCTAGTGCATTACTAATGCTGGAATGAATGACAGCCATGGTAGGGAATGAAAGTTACATGGGTATTGTAATCTGTACCCTATTTCCATGTGCAAAACAAAGGAAACGGATGATCTAGTTTTGGTATTTGTTTAATTGCCCTCTAGTAATGCAGCAGAGTTTGTATATATTGTGTGTGTATATATGTATTTCTTTAAGGTACCTCCTTACATTAAACATGTCAACAACTGGGTATTATGGTAGGTGTATGGGGAGATAGAAGTCCGTTAATTTTATAAAAGGTTATTCTTCATTCCTCAGCATTACTGAGCTCTGTGTACTTCAGTATTTTGGTTTCAAAGTCTAATCTCACGTACTCCTTTTTTTTTTCTGAACACGTCTCTGAATGCTTTTCAGCAGACGTAAAATTAGGTATTGTTTGTTTTGGTAGCGGGAGCCAGGAAGTTAGATCTAGGAGTGCTGAACGACCTCATTACTCAATAGCATTAGGCAAGATAATATGTCCTTCCATGCCAACCTTTTTTTCTAGGAAATAGTATTATCCCTTTGCTGTTCTCCAAACCAAATGCTAGCACTAATCAAAGCAGGGAGGCTCATTAGATGACTTTTGTGAGTAATGAAGAGCCATTTGCAGGGGCTCCATCCTGTGAAATTCAATCATGGAAATCCCAGAAGGAATGCCCAGAGGAGCTCTGATGGAGCATCTCCTCCGTCAGCGCTGGCTCTCACCATCTCGCGCGGCAGGCGTTCCTGGTGGGGATGTGCACTTGACAGCCCACAGGCTCCACACGGTGCTGCAGCTGGAGGTGCCTTTGAACAGTGGTCCATTTCGTGTTTCTGGTATGCTGTGTTAGGTAAAAATATCCTGCTCTTTAGCAACTACAGATACAGGGAGTATGTCCCAGTAGCCAGTGGAGTGCCTTGCCCTGATGAGGTGATGGTCGCATGGCTTGTTGAATCAGTGGCAGAGGAATGGGGAAAGCCCTCCTGGGGAGCTGGAAGAAGGAGAGAAGGGAGACAGCGGTCCCTGCCGTCACATGGTGTCACACAGCTTGCAGAAACGCATGAAGTTGCAGTGTTTTGGTGTTTTGCTTTTAAAAGCACTAACCGGGCAGGGTTGCAGGGAGAGGGCAGCGATAGCTTTCATGAGAAAGCTGAGAATCAGTGTATCAGCTGCATCCATGAGCTGGATGGGTCAGACATCGCCGCAGCCTTGTGACGTGGCGACGAATACGACAGCAAGCCCTGCAGAGGTGAAAGGCTCGTGATATCTCTAGTCCCTGCCCTGCCTTGGTTTATTCATGTTGACTGGTGCTGCAGGAAGAAAAAGGATTGTTGTGTGCATAAGGTAGTATTCAACGTGTAGACTTTCAGTTAAATGAGTTACTTATTTCTGCTGGTGGGTTTTGGGTTTTCGTTTTTTTTTTTTGCTCCACATGTTCTTTGCCTTGGGTTTTTCTTGTAAGTTACAGAATTTTGGATGATTAGTAGAAATAAGGTTTCCTGTGTAGAAATGACTCTTGCTTGGATACATAGATTTTCAATATATATTTTACCTTCACATTTCCTTGCTAAGTATTTCAGGTATTTCCTTTACTTAAAAGTAATTTTTTACTTAAAAGAAACGAGCAAGTTCTGATGAACTCTCCAGGAAAAGTTTCTTAGCAGGGTGTTTTCATCCAACCCTAGTAGTAATAGTTGGGGATCTGAAATTGCTACAGAGAGATCCCAGCCTTGTACTGTGTTGAGTTTTCTTTTTAATGATCAGATTGAAAAAAACTTTAAGGAATTGGGTTCTCTCGTGTTGAATTTAATTCCACTGTAGCATGAACTCCTCATTTTGGGCAAGCACTTAGCTACTTTGCTTGCAGCATGGCTTGGATATGGCTGCTTCTTCTCTGGACAGTGCAATAGAAGTAGTTCTTCATTTTCATAACATAAATGTGCAATTATGTGTTCAGGTCTGCTGCATTAATATAATGTTGATGGGGAAAAATACGAAGAATGAGCAAGGGAAAGATTTTTTTGGAGATAAGCTGCACAGACTTGCACAGTCTAATATGTAATGCTGGGAAATTGCCTGCGTCTACAAGTCTCAAAAGAAATGAAGTAACTCACCCAAATGTCACATAGGAAGCATGTGGCAGAACCACGAGTCAGATTCTCCTCCCTTGCCTCCTAGCTTAAGCTTTTAACTGCAAAGGCATCTTTTCTTCTTCATAGGTGAGGATGAAATGTGTGTCTTGTTCATTAATTACAGCATTAAAATGCTTTTTGGGGCTGTGTCCTTTAGCAGCCTTTCCACCAGAAGGACCTGCTCTGGGAAATGGGAGCTCTGGCAGCAAAGGACTACCTTTGTCTGCATTCATGTGTTGGACACCAGGTGAGAAGCCTGCAATGCTGGTATGTTGCCCAAAACTTGAAGGATCACCTGTGTAATAGAAGACGGACCAAATAACTTCACCACTCCCTTTCAATGTCAAGTCGTGCTCTTTCATCAGTGGTCCAAGACACAGATTCTGCTGGAAAAGTACATCAAGAGGTTGTTCTTTCAGGCCTCGAGTCCATCAACATGTATCTCGGTTGGGAATGCTGGATGCCTTGCAGGCATCACACATGGCCAGAGCACGTTTGTCCATTTTTAACTGGAATTGCTCATCTGTGAGAATGGATTTATCCTTGTAGGGTTTGGTGGCATAGTCCATATGATTAAAAGGTGAATCATACATAGTCGATGGCCCTCATCTGCTTAGAAAGGGTAAAGCATGCAAAAACAACAGGAGGAATAGTGCTTTAGGTAAAACAGAATAATAAATTACTGAGTTTCTGGCTCATTATTGGCCTGGACATGAAGGCTTTTGAGTGCTCTGACTGTGCTGTCACACAGAGCTCAGTACCACTCAGTGTCCTGAGTGCAAGGGCTGTCAGCCCTGTCTGGAAGGTGTTGCCCAGAGCATTTGGGAGAAACACGGCATTTTGGTAACTCAGCACGTGCTGCGTGCAGCAGAGAGGAATTCTGTGCTGGCTTTCATCTTGGCAGATGAAGAGGAGAAGTATGTCACAACTAGGAGTGAGGGTGTGGTCGGTTGACCTCGGCTAGAGGCCCGGTGCCCACCAAAGCTGCTGTCACTGCCCTCCTCAGCTGGGCAGGGGAGAGGGAACATGATGAAAGGCTCGTGGGTCGAGATAAGGACAGGGAGGGATCATTCAGCAGTTAACGTCACAGGCAAAACAGACTCAGCTTGGGGAAAAAAATGAATTTACTTTATCATCAAAATCAGAATAAAGAGAACTAAACCAAAATCTTAAAACACCTTCCCCCCACCCCTGCCTTCTTCCCGGGCTCAACTTCACGCTTGTTTTCTCTGTGTCCTCCCTCTGAGCAGCGCAGGGGCACAGGGAATGGGGGTTGTGGTCAGTCCATCACACGCTATGTCTACTGCTCCTTTCTCCTCAGGGGAGGATCCTCACACTCTGCCCCTGCTCCAGCGTGGGGTCCCTCCCACGGGAGACAGTCCTCCGTGAACTTCTCCAACGTGAGTCCTCAGTGTCTCCGTTCTTTCTTGCTCGGCTCCAGCCTGGGTCCCCTCCACAGGGTGCCATCCTTCAGGAGCCCCCTGCTCCAGCTTGGGTCCTCCCTGGGGTCACAAGTCCTGCCAGCAAACCTGAGGGCAGGGGCCTCCTCTCTCCATGGGGACACAGCTGCTACCAGGAGCCTGCTCCAGTGTGGGCTGCCCACGGGGTCACAGCCTCTTTCGGGCATCCCCCTGCTCCAGTGTGGGGTCCTCCCTGGGCTGCAGGTGGGTCTCTGCTCCCCCATGACCCCCCATGGCTGCAGGGCACAGCCGGCCTCACCATGGGCTGCGCCACGGGCTGCCGGGAATATCTCCTCCCCTCCTCCACCGACCTGGGTGTCTGCAGAGCTCGCTCTCTCACATCTTGCTCGCTTTCTCTCTGCTGCAATGTTCTCCTCTTGTTTTGGTTTGTTTTTTTTTTTTCCCCTTCTTAAACAAGTTATCTCAGAGGCATTATGATTGAGATGGGCTTGGCCTTGGCCAGTGGTGAGTCCATCTTGGAGCCGGCTGGCATTGGCTCTGTCAGGCATGGTGAGGCTCTCAGCAGCTTCTCAGCCACCCCTGTACCCCCCCGCTACCAAAACCTTGCCACGCAAACCACAACACCCAATACAAAGGGCTTTCTTAGATGGAAGTATTCATAACTACATGATATTAAATGCATCCAAACATAATCTGGTCCAGACCACTAAAATGCATTAGTTTTTTTGTGTTTATAGTATTTGGCCCTTTAAAGGTTTTGTTCTACCTGCTGAAGGCAATTCTGAGCTGCGTCAGTCAGGACAGAGAATTTAGAAAGTGTCACAAACTTCTTGTTTTCAAGAACATTTTAGTAAATGCAGGAGCATTCAGGTACTTTTGTTATGCATGGGAAGGGAGCCAGCTGATGTAATTATTTCGGAAGATGGTTATGAAAGTGTCTTGTTCCCCTGGAAAATCAGGAGAATGCTGAGCAACAACTTCTGAAGTTATGAACCTTTTTTTTTAAATTAATATAGTTGGGTAATTTGCATCCTAGAGTTTTAAAGGAGTTGGCTGAGGATCAGTTTGTCTTTAATGTTGATTTATAATAACTCGTGAAAGACGGGGAAAGTTGCAGGAGGTGGGAGGAGAGCAGAGGACATGACCTAGGGGTGTATGGCTTAGTCACCTCCATGTGAACCTTAAGTAAACACTTGAAAGCCTCATGAAGACCTCGATTAGGAAGTGTTACTGTTAGTAATGCCAATTAATATGTGTTTATGAAACCTGTCCTACTAACTTGATGCCTATTTTCTTATAGGACTCTAGACTTTTTAAATAGAAAGTACTTGTTTGAATATAATATATCTTTATGACATTTGACTTAACTGCCTTGTGATGTTTTGATTTAGGAAGCTGAAATAATGCAATGCTTACAAGGGGAGAAATACTGCTAGTGAGGTGTCACCCCTCTCACCCTGGCAATAACCCCAGCTCTCTTACCGTGTTTCTTAAGACTTCCTGTGCTTGTCCATACCTGAAGTCCTGTCTCCTGGCTCAATGCTCCTGAATTTATTTTCTCAGGAAATCAAGCTCACATAAAGTTCCTGAGTAGCCATGGGTTATTTCACCTATATATTTGCACTGAAAAAACTTACAGGGCTTGGATGATTTCCCTGAGGAAGACACTGATAAATCAGAGGTTTACAGAAGAGCTGTCAAAGTGACTAAATAGAGGAGAAAAAGCCTCAAATGGCTTAGCTTAGCTGACAGATGGCTCTGGGTGACTGGATCAATAGGGGAGGATATTTAAAGGAATTTAATTATTGAGGATTCTTCAATCTAGCTATGAGAGACAATAGAAATTTATGACTCGAAGTTGAAGCTAACCCAAATTCACACTGGAAGTAATGCAGGAGGTTTTAGATGAGACAGCTTACCAAAGGTTACAGTGTGCTTATTTTCCATTACTGATTGAAAGGTATGGCTGTAATTGGAAAAAGGCTTAATTCAGGAAGCTTTAAAGTTGTTTTGAGCAGCACTTAGTGTTTCTGCTTGAAACACATGCTGATATGGTGTTTGCTGAAAATTGCCACCATAATTCCCAGTCTTTGCAAAATTAGGTGAAATGGAGAAGTTGGTCTCCTGCCATATGACTTCTTTTGTTGATAATTGCAAGGATGGGTTGATGTGCAAGAGAGAGACACTTTCATCGCAAGGTCACTAGCTAGGGTCAAGCTCAGGCTAAATGCTTGAAACGGCACTGGCTGACCAGCATGATGGTCTCCATCGAACAGGCCACCGAACACTGACCATTGTGTGAGATGGCCAACGGAACTGTCAGGGCTTTCTTAACAAACTGGTTGGCAAGGTGAAGAGGTGAGCATGAAGACAAGTATATTTTCATGCCATAGCCATGAACCAAATCTTCTTTTTTTCTCGGACAAATCTGAACAGGGAATTCATAGAAAGCTTGTGTTTCTACTGCCAAGGCCATGGATGCTGTGTGAGTAAGTAGCTGCCAGCTTGGCACCTGTCTACAGCATGAAATCAGCTTTAAGAGTATTTCTGCAGGAGGTAATGGCTTTTACCATTTCAGCATTGTTACCTTGGCCTTGCTTACGAAACTTAGTTTAGGAACTGGGAGTGTCTGAGATAAGGCTTAGGTTTTTTCCTGGATTAACTATTATTTGAATAGTGATTTTTTTTTTTGTTTTGTTTTGTTTTTAAATGTTTCATTCCAAGCCAGGAGAATCTAGGTACCTTTCAAGATCCAACCTTTAGACTGTACTTTTCTAGTGAAAAGTAAACTTTTTCTAATGAGTGTCAATTAAGAGGTTGGAAAACCCAGCCACTTTCACCAGCATTC